AAAGGATTTAGCTGTTAAAAATGACCAACTACACTTGTTCCATGTGAACAGACACTGTACTGCAGTTGGAAGTTCAGCTGCCAGCCCATGGGATTCTCCCTAGGTAACTTTAGCTAGTCCTTATCAGCTGAACACACGGATTTGGGAGCAGGGGCACCAACTGCTCACCTGCAGCCCCTGGAGGGCCCAAACAGCTGGGATGAAATCTCCAGAAATTCCATCTCTGCTGGGCTGCTGCTCCTCAGCCTGTAGCTGCTGCTTGTCACAGTGCAGAACAGCCTCAGCAGCCAGAGACAGCTCAGCTGGCTGGATCAGAGTTACAGGAAGGCAGTGTGGCTCCGACCTTCCCTCTCATGGTGTTCCACTGCCAGGAGTGGGAAATGTCTCTACCTGGACCTGAGCAGCTGACATAGGGCCGATGGGATATGTGGCTCTGGTTCAGATGGTTTGTCCTCAAAAGGGTGAGATTTATTTCCAGTAGTGACATGGTACAAAAGGAGGCACTGTGTGAAATTGCTATTCACTTCCATACCTGTCATAGAGTGAGTTCTTTCCCTTTTTAATTTATTTTTTAATGCAAATTAGATACTTTTGGGAGAAATCCAGATCTGTCTTTTGAAACCTGGCATTGACTCTTCCTTATATAGCAGGATGGAGAAAATAATGAATTCCTTTGGTTTTCTCTGCTTGTTCTAAACCCCTCTGGTGTCTCTTGACAGGCCCAGAGCCCTTGGCTTCCCCACTATGGAGGAGTTGATGTCCATTTCACTGGCATGGCTGACTGCTTCCGGCAGACCGTGAAGCACAAAGGTGTGCTTGGACTTTGGAGAGGACTCACACCCAGTCTGCTCAAGGTGAGGTTTTGCTTTCATCCCAGTCAAATACTGTCCTGAAGGAATCAAGACAATTTTGGGCAGAAAGACAATTTTGGGATAGAAAGTTTATGACATACCTTTGTACTTAGTAGCTTATAGATGACAGAATCAGTGACAAGACAGGTTATAAACCAGCTTTGGAACTTGGTTTGGTTGTATTTGCCTAAATCCAAGCTTGGCTTCTAGATGTCACCACTTGAAAGTTCATTTCAATATCTCTGAAGAAGGGGGTGCTCCTAGCACAAATGGTGTGCAGTGGATGGGGGATTGCAAGCAATCCACTTAGGGCAGCTAAACAAGTTCTCCCTCTGACCTGAACTCCAGTCATTGACATGTTGTAGTGAGCTGTAAAAAAAGTGTGCTTGTGTAAGCCACTTGGCCAGAAGTCCAAAGCAGTGTTTAATGCATGTGTATCAGTTACTGCAGCCTTTGCTGAGTTGAAAGCATGAAATAAAGCATAGTAGCTTAAAGAGAAGGTAATTAAATTTACATAAATACGTTTTACAGTGCTGTGATGAGGATTACCTACATAGAGTACTACAGGTCAGCTAATGAGTGCTAATTGAGTGACAGTAGGATTGATTGTGATGGCCTGCCTGTGACTGCCTTACCTTGGCTGATACAAAGCCAGTGGCCCTGGAGCTGCTGGTTCTGCATGGGGCAAAAGAAGACAATTGTGGAGTCACTCCAGTGTATGTGGAATAAATTCCATATTTCCTGCCAGGATTTGCTGAGATTGCTTAGGATGTACTTGGGTATTTGACAAGTTCTGGTAATCTCTTGAGTAGCATAGACCTTCTTCCTCACAATATTGCTATAATTAGTTATGTAACAATAATAAACTCCTGCTTTTAGCAAATTGCAGTTGGCAGCATAGCTTGAGATGGGACTGATTTTATATAAATGAGGACAAGATCTATTATTAGATCAGATCTGAAGTACTAGAAGTTCCCTTTTCTTAAAACATCTAAGCTATGGATGCTGCTAGTGAGTCTAATTTTTTTTTCTTATATTGCTTTTTCATCAGATTGTGCCATACTTCGGTGTTATGTTTAGCACCTTTGAATTCTGCAAGCGGGTTTGTCTCTACAGAAATGGTTATATTCAATCTCCTTTAAATTACAAACTAATGCCTGGTGTTGACCAGAGCTTACACCCACAAGAACTGAGAGAATTAAAGCTCCTCCGAAGGGAAAATTTTGAGCCGAGGAAATCAGCACTTGAAAACTGACATCAGAATGTCCACTGCAGATACAGGAACACCTTTGCAAGAAAGACATGCTGAGCTACAGGTACTGACATTTCAGTGGACTTCAGTGAGACACCTATGACAGGAAAAAATAAATCTGTATTGTATTTGCTGAATGGATTTAAAGAATATGTCAGGCAAGCACATACTGAAGAGGAAAGATGCAACTAGTTTGAAAACTCTGTACTACTGAACTTGAAATGGCATTGTTTTAGGTGCTTTTTAAAACTGAATAGCCATTTGAGATTAAACCAGGTGCAGAAAGGCAAGAGAATAGAGATGGGAGTATAAATTGTCTCCAAAAGCATTGAGAAAATGGATTTTCTTGGTATCTGCGATACCAAGTCAGCCAAAAATAACAAAACAGAATAAAATACATGCAACATGCAAGAATTTCTACTGAAATCTCCATGTTTCTTAGTGATACTGTGTGGACATGGCATTCTAGAGAGTCAGAATTAGTTCAGTCACACTCCCAAATCCACTCCTTAGTTTTTGAGATGTACTTGAGAATAATATTTTTGTCTGAATCTCCAGCATAAAGATGAATGCATGCTGCTGCAGCTGTGCTTTTGCTAAGACAGAACTGTAATGTGCAAAATGGATTGTAATACCCTGGAATCACAATCTGGCAAACTCAAGTGCATACTCAAAAATATTTCTCCCTTTCTCATGCATTGTTACTGCATGTATGTGAATTACTTCACACTTTGAAAAATAATTTCCTGAAGTCCTCTAACTGAAATATTTTCTGGAAAATGCAGTTCTTAAATGTGTTAGATATTTCAGAGCCACAAACTCTGTCATGTTGTTTATCTACTTTTAAAGCTCTATTTTTTTATTAAACCACTTTTGAGTTCCAGTGCACGGATGTAAGCCTACTATGCTGCCCTAAACTTGCACAGAGAATAGCACCATGCACCCCAGCTGTGACTGATCCCCTGAACCCTGTGCTCCAGGGGCTCACACAGGTCCTGTGGTAGGAACCTCTGCAAGAGCACCAGGGTACTGCCAGTGCCACTGCCACAGATGGGCCTCTTGGGAGCTTTTGGACCACAAAAGATTATCTTTGATGTTAGTGTTATACCTGAGGAGCCATGGTGTTGCTCCAATTCCTGTGTAGAAGTTCAGCTATGGAGCAGCCCCATCCCAGTGCCTTCTGAGAGAAACCCCAAACCCCATGTCCATGTGGGAAGCTGGCTGTGCCCCTGGCAGCACAGGAGTCACAGCAGCTCCAAAGGTGTGTGCACACTGGCTGCAGCCTGGGCTCAGCACAGCCTTTGCTGCTTTACACAGCTCCTCAGCTGTGTTTTTGCACTGTTTGTAATCCCTGATGGGTGAAAATAAATAAATCTCAGAAAGTGCTTGGTTAGAACATGTCACAGCAGGATGAGACATTGGCAAATCCTTGCAGGAACAGTCTATAACTGTGGAGAGAAACTTGCAGAAAGATTTGGGATAACTTAAGGCCTGACTTGCACCTAGAACTGATTGTTGATGTATCTTACAGCTGAAGTCTTGCAGTGTCTCTGTTAATGGGCTTTGTCTGTTCTGCTGCAGTGGTGCTTCATACTGATTTTTTTCTCAGCAAAGAAATGCAGGCATAGAAAGCAAAACATTAAGATGGTAGAGAGCAGATCTGGTGGCTCATGCATCACACTGAGGCTGTAAGTGCTTTTGGTTCTAATCAACCTGCCTAGTGATCATGTTTCTTTCCCTGTGCCTCAGTTTTCCCATGGGCACAGTACAGGTGATAATACTGAGACTTGTTGGACTTGTATGGATGTGGAGATGGAATTGTAAGCATGTTGGGGAGGAAAGGATTTCTTGCCTTGTCCAAGCATACCTGTATGTTTTTTACTAACACTGTATTTCTAAATAGATTTTAAATATTGAATGGGTACATATGAATGTCTGATCAACTCTTCAAACCTTGTAAGAGTCAAGTGAGTCAAAAAGTTATCTCTAACTTGTTTCTGATGTGCTGCTACCACCTTTGTATTGTAGTGCACTCCTACGACCTATCAGGCACTAACTAACCTTTTATCAACCAAGCCTGTCCTTTGTAATCACAAATACACGTGACAAATCCCCAAAAGGCAGCACTAAAATATTTAACATGTCACTGTCACCTTCATCAGTGGATCACTAGCATGTGCAATGGTGTATGACCATGAAGAACCAGTCAATAGCAGGGCTAAACTCCTGGACAGGTGAAGTTGTGCTCGAGTGAGGTTTGGCTGCCGCGGTGTGCTGGGGGCGGGTGGTACCGCCGGGCTGTGCTGAGCATCTCAGCTGAGCTCGGCGCTGGGGCTGCACAAGGAGCTCGGTCACTGTCACCCTGTGTGCGGGTGACTGCATCCCGAGGGCTGACAGAGGGCTCTCGGCTGCGGGGACAGAGACGGGACCTCAGCACGGCCGTGGATGAGGCAGCCCCAGAGCCCGCCCCGCTCCAGCTGTGCTGAGCCCGGCTGCTCTCGCCATGGCACTGGGATGGCTCCGTCACCGCCATGTGCTGTGCTCGGGGTACGGATAGGGACAGGCGGTGTGACCGGGCCGGGGCCGCATCTGTGTCCTGCCCGCGGTGCTGATGGGATCCTCCATGCCGTGATGCCGCGTCCCGGCGTGCTTTATCCCGGGATGTCCCGCCCCGGTGTGCTCCATCCCGGGGTGTCTCCTCCCGGTGTGCTCCATCCCGGGATGTCCTATCCCAGTGTGCTCCATCCCAGACTCCTCGTGCTGCGCTCCCGCTCCCCTCACCGCGGCCATGTGCCCCCCACCAGTTCCAACGGCAGCCCCGTCCCCCTGCGGCGGCCACGCCCCCTGGCGCAGCCAATAGGCGAGCGGGACGCGCGCCCCGCCCACGCTCGCGCCCAGCCCCTATATTAACGGCCATTGCGGCGCCCCCTCAGCGCCGCCTCCCGCCTCCTTCGCCCGGCTTCGCCTCCCGCTCGCGCCGCTCCCGCCATGACCGATGCGGCCGTGTCCTTCGCCAAGGATTTCCTCGCCGGCGGGGTGGCGGCCGCCATCTCCAAGACTGCCGTCGCCCCCATCGAGAGGGTCAAGCTGCTGCTGCAGGTGAGCGCCGGCGGCCGGGGCCGTGCCGAGGTCGCCGCAAGGAGAGGGGGGGCGGCGGTGGGCCAGGGGCTCGCGGGGAGCGGCGCTGACGGCAGCGTCTCGGCCCCTGCAGGTGCAGCACGCCAGCAAGCAGATCGCCGCCGACAAGCAGTACAAGGGCATCATCGACTGCGTGGTGCGCATCCCGCGCGAGCAGGGCATCCTCTCCTTTTGGCGCGGCAACCTGGCCAATGTGATCCGGTACTTCCCCACCCAGGCCCTCAACTTCGCTTTCAAGGATAAGTACAAGGAGATCTTCCTGGGCGGCGTGGACAAGCGAACCCAGTTCTGGCGGTACTTCGCCGGTAACCTGGCATCCGGGGGTGCCGCCGGCGCCACCTCCCTGTGCTTCGTGTACCCCCTTGACTTTGCCCGAACCCGCTTGGCCGCGGATGTGGGTAAAGCAGGGGCCGACCGGGAGTTCAGTGGGCTCGGTGACTGCCTGGTCAAAGTCTTCCGCTCAGATGGCCTTCGGGGCCTGTACCAAGGCTTCAGCGTCTCTGTCCAGGGCATCATCATCTACAGAGCTGCCTACTTTGGCATCTACGACACTGCCAAGGGTAGGTTGACCCAAACACTAAAACGGAGATGCTGGGCTGCAGCAGACCTGAAGTGCATTTCAATATTGCTGGTGGCTTGCCTGCCGTTCTCATCAAAGCCTCTCTCCTGCAGGCATGCTTCCAGACCCAAAGAACACCCACATTGTTATCAGCTGGATGATTGCTCAGACCGTCACTGCTGTGGCCGGTTTGGTCTCCTACCCGTTTGACACGGTTCGTCGTCGCATGATGATGCAGTCTGGCCGGAAAGGAGGTGAGTTTCTCCTCCTGTGTAAGAGTTACTGGGCATCCCTGAGTCCATAGCTGGTGGTGGAGCTGAGAGGAAGGCAGATAGCTTTGCTTTCATCAGCCTGTGTAGATATCCTCATCTCTTGTAAGGGGTGTAGGAGGGGCTGCAGAAGCAGGTGACAGGAAGGGGCATGAATGGGTCGTGCAGCACACCTGTAAGGTGGCATACACAAGTCAGGTATATGCCAGTAGGCAGGAGCAGCAGAACTCGCCCTTGGATATTGCAAGCCAGTGTCTCTGGGACAAGAAAAGACAGCCTCCATAGCAGGCACAGCCTGGCCAACTGTGCAATAGCTTTTGGGTTTGGAAGTGTTGCTGTCAAAGCAAGGAGTTGCTGCGTTCTGCATGAACTGGTCCTTGCAGTGTCTCCCAGAGACAATGCAGCAGCAGCACCATCTCTCCTGGGCAGTCTCGTTCTCGGATGTGCTATTGGAGAAAGTCACCCAAGAAATAGGATGCACTTGAGGTTGTAAAGCCAATAGATAGATGAGGCTGTTTCTGACTTGGATGTTGGGGGTGGTGGGCACCCAGTTCCTAAAGCTGTCTGTCTCCTGCAGCTGACATAATGTACTCTGGCACTCTTGACTGCTGGCGGAAGATTGCCCGGGATGAGGGCTCCAAGGCCTTTTTCAAAGGTGCATGGTCAAACGTTCTCCGAGGAATGGGTGGTGCTTTTGTCTTAGTCCTGTATGATGAAATCAAGAAGTATACATAAGTTGTTTCCTGTTGTGAACTGGCATGTTGTTCTATGTAGTCTATGACTGTTCATGGACTTGTTTGAAAACCATCTAGTTACTAAACAGTGGCAGCTGATGTTTGTACAGGTTGGCATGGGGCAGGGGTGACTGCTTGCCCTGTCTTTATCAAACTATTCCCCCTGATGGGACTCATGATGGTTTCTATTTCAGTCACTCCTGCTTAAAAAGTACAGAGAAATAAAAATCTGAAACCAATTTTCCTCATCTCATGTTTGTTCTTACAGCAGCTGAAGTATGAGGGGGTTGGGAGGCTCAGCAGTTGTAGAGAAGGAGGAAGATGAGCAACCTTCATCCTGCAAGCCTTGGTACCTGCTAAGTGCTGGCAGGTAAACACAGTGCAGGCTGCCAAGGGAGCTGGGTAGTGTTTCCTCTCCAGGGAAGCCAGTGGTGTAGGCTGGAATGGCACTGGCAGCTCTGAAGGGCTCACCCAGCTGATCTCCCTGAGCCTCCACTAACCAGAGCTGATGGACTTGAGTGTGTGCCACAGTCCTGCCTCTGGCCTGTCTGCTCCTTGGAGCTCGTGAAACCTGATTTTGATGGTGCCAAGTGCCTAAACTGTCTGTAAAGCACAGCACTCCCTATGGCACTGAATGCCTGGGAGGTGGAAGGATGTCTAAGGGGGTGTTTCCTGCTCCTGGAGGAGCGGAGCTTGGCATATTCTCTGCCTTAGGAGCTGAGCTCCCTAACTGGGCATGCAGGTAGCCAGAGGACACAAGTGCAGGTAATTGTTGCTGCTCTGCAGCTTCCCTGGCTAGCCTTGCTCTCCCAGAGGGTGCTGTGCTGTGGGGGTGCAGCAGCTGAGCAGAGACAGCTTCTGTACCAGCTGTGCTTGCTAGGCAGGGAGGTGCATTCCCAGCTCCTTCCCTACCTCTGGAACTTAAGGCTCAAAATTCCAGGGGAAGGGGAAAATTCCTTTATGCTGCTGGGACAATTTGGGGAAAACTGCAAGATGGGGGAAGGTGTGTGGTGTAGCCTTTTCCCAGATATCTCTGTATGTCTGTGGGTCACCCTAGCAAAGCTGCCTGGTTTCCTGCCTGGAGATCTGGAGTGGTCAGGGGAGGCTCTCCTGGTCTTCTGCCCTTCAGATCAGCGAGTGAGGCACTTCCCCCATGCCTTTGGTCCTTTCTGGCTGCCCAGGCCTGCTCAAAGCAGTTGATTTCAATCACTGAAACCAATCCCAGCCACTGCCCAAGGCAGCTAAACAAGACCTCGTGTTGCAAAGGGTGAGAGTTGGTTTTATTGCTGGAGTCTGAGCAGGGCAGCCAGGCATGAGAGCACAGCACCTTCCTGCTGCCGGGGGGCTTGGCTTGCCAGGGTCCCTGTGAGAGGGCAGGGGCCTTCCTGGTGGGAGCCAGTCCTGTGCCTCACAGCTGGGCCACTGTCCTTGCTGATGGTTTCAACTGCCCCTGTTGCTGCAGAGCGAGATCCCCCAGTGCGTGCTGTGGAAATGAAACAGGCTGTACAGGTGAGATGTGAGCAATGCCACAGCAATGGGCAGTGCTGGGCACAGGCAGCAGCCTGGCAGGGGACTGTGCCACGGGGCAGCTTTACAGGGAGCCCTCTCCTGTTGTACAAGTGCCAGCTTGTTAAGTAAGGGCTCTCAGCCTCCTGCTGCTAAGCTCTCCTGGATTTCAAGGGCTGTTCTGAAATGCTGAGCATGGGGCTTCCTTTCCTGTCCTTTCCTCCACAGGGGTTGCATGGCCAGGCCATTGGCACAGTAAGGTAGGTGCATCATTTCTTCCTGCACACAGGGGTGGGTGACTGAGGCACTGAGCTGGGCTCTTGTGCCAGGCTGCAAAGGAGCTGAGCTGGGCCATCCCTAAGACCTACAGATTGTGCACTGGACTTGGGGTGCAGGGCTGGCACTGAGTGAAATGGGTTTTAGCTACGTGCCCTATTGAGTGCTTTGGGGATTCAGGAAACAAGAATGTGTTTCACAGCTTTTTTAGCTCTGGCAGGTGGGAGAAGCAGGGCAGAGCCCACAAGGGGTTTTCCTGCACTCCACTGTTGGGTACTGCAGCCTGGTAGGCCTTCTGGGCTTTGAACTGCCCCCCCCCGGGGGGAGCAGCTTTGTGTGGGGATCAGGCTGGGGGTTCAGCTGCTGCTGTTGCCTGCCACAGGAGCACACTGTGCAGGGATTAAGGGCTTTGTTCTTGTGGGGAAACTGAGGCATGAGAAAAGGACTGGGGCCCACCAGTGGCAAGGCAGCAAGCTGAGTGCAGTCCCTCCAACACTGCATTTTGTTCACTGGGCTGTGCTGCCCCAAGAACAACATGGATGGGGTGATTTTCCTTTTAAGTGTGATTTTTCCTGTGGGAAGGGCTGAACAATCCCACACCTTGTGCTTTCCTGCACAGCAGCTGTGTCCAGCCTGGTGCAGCAGCTCCTTTGCAGGTGAACAGGGATGGTGAATGCCTGTAATGCTGCCTCTGTCTCAGCCCTGGCCCAGCAGCCATAAATCCAGGCTTAGGAGGTGTTGACGCAGCAGGGCTGTGCAGGGGATCGTGTGACACACTTGTCAGTGCCTGGGGCAGCTGGTGACTGGTGTGGGATGGCTGGGATGGCTCAGTGTGCACCAGCCTGCCCCAGCTGGCCTGTGCCTGGCTGAGTCTTGCCATGGAGAGCATCCCACCCCAAGGACTTGACTTGTAAAAGACCAGAGTGCCAGCTCACCCACTCCACTGTCCCCTTCAGCAATCGTTGGGTCGCTCCAGGCTGTGTCTCTGGGCTTTGGATGGAGCCAGGAGTGCCCCTGTCTCTGTGTCATTGTCAGCCTTGTCACCCTTGCCCCAGCATCCTTCATGTGCTGCCTGCATGGCTGGCAGGGTCTGGTGCAGAGGGGCAGGATTTTACCCTGCTTTGTCCTGCAGGGTAAAATCACAGTCCCCGGTGGGATTGTTCCTGCCACTGCCCAGCCATGCAGGGTGGCCCCATCAGCTGCCCAAAGCACTGCATGGGGGCCTGGCTGTGGGGACAGAGCTGTCACATGCCTGCCAGGACACAGCCCCAGCCCTGCACACCCTGCAGCCATACCCAGCTGCTGGGGGTGGTTTTGGGAACAGTGAGTCCTCAGCACCTGCCAAGACCCCACAGCAAGACTGGCAGCCCCAGGGAGGTTCTGGGAGGTGTCATCCCTCCAGTGCTTTGCTGCTTGTTGCTTTCTGACCCTGCTGGGATTGACAGGAGTTACAGCCCTGGCTGCTGCTGTGGGGATGGAGTTTTTCTGGCTGACAACAAAAGAGAGATTGGCCACTTGTTCCTTGAAATCCACCCAAAACCCCAGGCTGCTGTGGCCAGCCAGGGTCATAAGGATTCCTCAGCAGGGAGTTACAAGGCTTCCATTCCATCCTTGGAGCCCAGCCATGGAGCCTTTTAAACAAGCCCATAATTTTATACTTTTAAAATGCCTGGAAGTGGCAAAGCCCCATGGCCTCTTTAGGACAGCACCAGCAAAAGCTGAGACTGAGATTCAGGCTGATCAGTTAGTGCTGCTCCCAGGCTGATCACTTTGTCATACACATTGTGTGTATTTATCAGTGTGCATTTATCAATACAACAGCCCAGGGAGTCAGAGCAAGCCACCTGCACTGAGTAAAATGGCACAAACATGGAGTACAGGGAGAGCTGTAAGGGTTGAGTCTAAAACTTCCCCTCACTCCAATGCTGCTCCCCAGGCACAGCTGTGATAACAGGGAGGTTGGATTCACTGTTACCACTTCTCTTGAGTGTTTACAAATTGTGTGGAGGTTTTGTACAGGTTATGGGGAGCCAGGCAGCATTGTTACATCCAGAGCTGTTCTGACACCCTAAATCAGACCAGGGTTTTGTGAAGGTGCTTGGAAACTGGTCTGAAGTAAGTCATGAAATACTGTAAGGTAAGTCTGTCCATGTGTGCCATTACTTTTGGAACAGACTCCCTCCCTCACTTTTTATTTCACATTTTGTGATACATCTGCATCTAGAAAAGTTATTACATACAATATGATGCTCAGTTAAACAAATCTATCACTTACCTGTATCTACAGACTTATAAAAACAAATGTTAACTTTTACATGTCTGACTGTAACATGAAATCTGACTTTTCTTTGGTCTGAACTCTGCTAGATTGCCATTTGCTACCAGGCTGTGGGAAACCCTGCAGGACAGCTGGTTTTATCTATTTTAACAGGACATTTCATCAATTGTTGGAACTTGGTAACCCTGCTTCCTGTTGCTACAGTCAGCTAATATATTTTAATTCATTTAGATCTAGAAATGAAAAACCCAACTTGATTTACACTGTTGTGAACTAGCTCCAGTTGAAGTAAGAAATAAATAATAATGTATTGGATCAGATTCTCTGTGTTGGAGCTGTTTTCAGCCATGGCCTGCATAACTAGAGTGTATCAAAAGCACCTCAGAAGATGCAAGGCACTCCCCTTTCTGACTGTGTCCGTGCACAAGTCCTGAGCCAAACTAGGCAGATTTCCAATGATGAGAATGACAAACTGATTGAACATGGTCTGGCCTTCCAGAAGCGTTTACTGTGCTGTCAGGAGGCTCCAGGAGGCAGCTGAGGGAGTTGATGGCAGTTGGTAACAGCTACTTTGGACAGCTTGTGCTGAGCAGCTTTTGTCCCTCCCAGCCTTAACCCTGACAGTAAATCCCACCATCCCCAAGCCAGCTTGTTGTTCTGGTGTCACCTGAAGCAAGACTACACTTCATCCCTGGACAACTGGAAACTCAGCATCTGCATCCCAGCACCTCACACATGATTCAAAACCTATTTTCAGATGTCAGTCTTTTACTCTTGCTTGGGAAAAAAAGTCTGAATTGTTAGAGAGAGTGACCTGCAGTTCGCCCAGGCTTGGATCGCTCCCAGAGGAAGCCTGAGGCCCTCGCCTGGCCGGACTGTGCTACCACACTGGGAAAGGGCTTTGTGTACCCACACACCTCCTGCCCTTGCCGAGTACTGCACACCACCACGGGCTTCTGGAAACAGGCTTCAGATTAGCAGGTGATGAGCAGGGAACAAGATCAGCACTTGGTGAGTTAATGTGAACACCTGCTTACCAGCCTGGCATTAAATTATCCCAGGATCTACCAACCCATCTCTGCTAGCTCTGGGCAGAGTTCACTCCCTCTTTTACTCCTTGTTTTCCTGAGAAAGAGAGGATAGATCCTTAGGTACACAGATCTGAGTTTTCCCAGTCAGGGCTATAAAGCCACATGAAAAATCTTTAGGAATTATAGTTATTACAGGAAGTTTTCCATAATAATTGTGGAAGATGGAAGCATCTTGTTCATTGCTTGCATTTTATGATGCATTTACTTGGTAGAGCAAGAACATCTCAGGAGAGATATTTTTAGTTCAAATCTGTAACGTGATATTTAATCCAAAGTAGAGCAATGAAGCCATGGGCTAGAGAGCACTGTCATTACATCATGCAAGAGGCACAGAGTACCATTACCCAAACAAGGTACTTTAAAAACTGGTGTGTAATGTTGTCCATCCAAGGCCTTAGTGGTCAGTACATTCAAAACAATTTTTCCTTCACATTTCACAACTCCAAATACTGATACTGTTTTGCCCAATGGGCTACTTCAGATGTGCAGCTGTATTCTTTAATGATCACTGGCTGTATCAGTAACTTCCAAACGCATATTTGAACTCATTAGTAGCAGTTTTTATTTACAGTAGTTTAAAACAGGCTTGGATTTTCCACTCTGGTGTGTGTCTGTACAACTGCAGCCTTGTGATGTTCAGCAGGAGCTGAGCCTGCAGTGCAGCAGCCCAGTCTGTGCTGGCAGCTCAGGGTGAGCAGCAGCACCAGGCCCAAGCTTTGCATCCCAGTTGTTCCGGACCATGCTGGAGTGGCATGGCTCAGGCTGCTGCACCTGTTGGATATGTTTAAAATAACAAAATGAACAACAGGCATAGAGCTTACTTTTGTAAGGATTTCTTTGTTGTACCTGTTGTCCTAATGTATTCAAGGAAACACATCTGAAAACTACAAAATAAAAAGACAGGTATCTGAAGGTGAACTTGGGAAGGCACGCAGCAAAGATTTTCTTGAAAGTAAATATTCTATCTGCAACAGCCTGCTCATAACACTGGGTCTGTAGAGAAGTGCAGTTTGAGCAAAGTCTTCATTGCCATTGGAGTTAAGACTGGTACCCAGAGTACACAGAGGATCCAGAGAGATTCTCATCCTCCAAGCTGGCTGCAGCACAGTGCAACTCTTGAACGTTGTCTGTTACTTCTGCTTTGTTGACAGAACTGTGATAGCTCTTGGCAGTTTTCTCCTGTCTCCAAACACCCAGCAGATACACAGCATTTCATTTGAACTGGTTATCAATCAGGGTTCCCTTCATCTTGGCTTTCTTGGCTTCCAACTCAGCCTGAATAGGAAAATTAAGATAGAATTAAATCATGTCTGGATAATTTTCCCTTCAGTGCTCCAATCAAGTCTGCTCTTCTTGTCTGACCAAGCAAATTTTTCAGTTCTAAAACCAGGAGCAAGAGTAGCTCAAGTGTTTTGTAGATGTGTTCAAAACAAGGACCATCTTTAAAATTGTAAAAAGCCCAAGAGAGAATTTCATACTTTCTATCCTCAGGTGGAAGCTGCACATTTCCTCCCCCTTTCCATCTACTCCCCTCCTATCACAGGAGGTAAGATCAGTTGTGATGTCCTTGCCTTTCATTCTCTGAGTGCTCCTTGCAGCAGCAGCTGAGCTGCAGATCCTCCCCAGGAGCCTCATGGCAATGACCTGCTCTGCAAGCAGGCATGGGAGCACAGGCTGGCAAAGCCACAGCCTGATGTCCCCTGCCCTTGGTCCTTGTCCAGCAGGTCACAGGAAGCCTCCCTGCAGGCACTCTGCTGGCTGCTCTTCAGTTAGCTCTCCAGGCAATGGCATGCAATTTTAAGTTCAGGGGGACAAGAACATCTTTATAAAACCTGTAAAGGAAATCTCATCCCCACAAAGCTGCAAGCTGCCTGTGACTATACCAGGACCTCTCTATACCTGCAGTCTGATCTGCAAGACTGTGATAGCTCTTGTGTAAAAAGCCAACACATCTCAGAGCTTTGTGTTCAGCACCAAAGAAAAACTCACCAACTCTTGTAGTCTTTTCTTGCTCATGCCTTTGCGTTCCAGCTGCTTCTCAATCACTTTTGCATTCTGTGCATATGAGTCTGCAATCTCCCTCTGAAACAGACACACATCACCTTGCAACAGCAAACCCCAGAGGAACAACATCTCATCCAAACAGTGACACCACTGCTGCCTCTGCCCACTAAGGGCATCCGAAACTCACCGCTTCAATCTCCTCCTCCTCTTCATCAATTGTGGACACTGTGACAGAGCTGAACTTGCCCATGTCTTTGGTCCGTTTGGTCATCATCACCTGCGTGAAAAACAAGAATATTTTGTTAAACCCTGGCGACAGCTGAGCCAGTAGGGATTGCTTCCTCCTTCCAAAGGTTTTAAGGCTTCTTATGCAAACCATCAAGATTACCTGAACTCTGTGGGTGGTAAAGGGGAATTATGCTCAGTGATTTCTGGGCTTAAAGGTGTCATTACTAGAAGCAAGCTCACTGATATACAGTAGGTCAGCCAGACTTTGAGAATCACTGTGCAAACTACCAAGCTGACCTACTTACAACTGGAAACTTTCTGTTAACTGAGCCTAAACATCAGGCACAGTCTAGACTTTAGAGTTGATTTTGCTCTCCTTTAGTGCTAGGACTTCAAGCAGCAGTGACCACTGTCAAGGGAAACTTAAGGGAAACATGGACAAGACACCAAATTGAGTTATTGTTCAGAGGTCCTTTTTCTTTTCTCTCCCCTCACCATTAAGTTATTTTATACACAACACCTTTAGAAAAGCAAAGGTATCCTTGTTCTCTAAAGCAAATCACCTTTTTAGGAGGTTCTTGTTTCTGAGTATATATGTTTGTTTTCCCAAAACCCTGGCCAAATTTGACCACAGCACCATCAACAATGAACGTCACAGGAGCATTTTTCTGTTGGTGTTGATAAAAGAGCAGCAGTCCACACCTGGAAACAGAAATACACAGCTGACAGGAAACCCAGATTCTGGGTTCCTATGGTTTCCTCATAAAAAAATATTCTAAAAGTCACTCAAAAGACTAAAAAAGGTCACTCACTTGCCACACTTCTTCCTGAACTGCCGCTCTATGCCTTCGGGTCTGGGGAAAGAGAGGCAGCGCTTGAGCACACAAGGTCTGTCTGTGCCGGGCTGGCGGGAGGGCAGCGCCTTCCCGGGCCGGGCTCAG